TTGGGATTTTTTGAGATTTTTTTAGGTTTTTTTTAGGATTTTTAAGAGATTTTTTTAGGGTTTTTTTAGGATTTTTTTGGGATTTTTTTTAGGATTTTTTTAGGATTTTTTTAGGATTTTTTTAGGATTTTTTTTGGGAATTTTTTGAGATTTTTTTAGGATTTTTTTAGGATTTTTTGGGGATTTTTTGAGATTTTTTTGGGTTTTTTTAGGATTTTTAAGAGATTTTTTGAGATTTTTTTAGGATTTTTTTAGGATTTTTTTGGGGATTTTTTGAGATTTTTTTAGGATTTTTTTGGGATATTTTGAGATTTTTTTAGGTTTTTTTTAGGATTTTTTGGGGATTTTTTTAGGATTTTTTTAGGATTTTTTTAGGATTTTTTTGGGATTTTTTGAGATTTTTTTAGGGATTTTTTAGGATTTTTTAGGGATTTTTTTAGGATTTTTTTGGGATTTTTTGAGATTTTTTTAGGGATTTTTTAGGATTTTTGCCCTCAGCGGCAGCGCCCTGCCCGCGCCCCTGGAGGCCACCTCGGGAAAGGTGGGGACAAACGGGAACTCCTGGGAAATTGAGGGGGGTTGGGAGGAATTTTAGAGAATTTTTTAGGATTTTTTGGGGATTTTTTTGGGATTTTTTTGGGATTTTTTTAGGGTTTTTTTAGGATTTTTTTAGGATTTTTTTGGGATTTTTTGAGATTTTTTTTAGGGTTTTTTATGATTTTTTTTAGGACTTTTTTAGGATTTTTTGGGATTTTTTGAGATTTTTTTAGGTTTTTTTTAGGATTTTTAAGAGATTTTTTTAGGGTTTTTTTGGGGTTTTTTGAAATTTTTTTAGGATTTTTTTAGGATTTTTTTAGGATTTTTTGGGAATTTTTTGAGATTTTTTTAGGATTTTTTTAGAATTTTTTGGGGATTTTTTGAGATTTTTTTAGGATTTTTTTAGGATTTTTAAGAGATTTTTTTAGGGTTTTTTTAGGATTTTTTTAGGATTTTTTTGAGATTTTTTTAGAATTTTTTTAGAATTTTTTTGGGATTTTTTGAGATTTTTTTAGGTTTTTTTTAGGATTTTTTGGGGATTTTTTTAGGATTTTTTTAGGATTTTTTGAGATTTTTTTAGGATTTTTGAGAGATTTTTTTAGGATTTTTTGGGGATTTTTTGAGATTTTTTTAGGATTTTTTTAGGGTTTCTTTAGGATTTTTTTAGGGTTTTTTTAGGATTTTTTTAGGATTTTTTAGGGGTTTTTTTAGGATTTTTTTAGGATTTTTTGGGGACTTTTTGAGATTTTTTAAGGATTTTTTTAGGATTTTTTTTGGATTTTTTAGGGATTTTTTTAGGATTTTTTTGGGATTTTTTGAGATTTTTTTAGGATTTTTTTTGGGATTTTTTGGGGATTTTTTTGTGGATTTTTTGAGATTTTTTTAGGTTTTTTTTAGGATTTTTAAGAGATTTTTTTAGGATTTTTTTGGGGATTTTTTGAGATTTTTTTAGGATTTTTTGGGGATTTTTTGAGATTTTTTTAGGGTTTTTTTAGGATTTTTTTAGGATTTTTTTGGGATTTTTTGAGATTTTTTTAGGATTTTTTTTGGGATTTTTTGGGGATTTTTTTGTGGATTTTTTGAGATTTTTTTAGGTTTTTTTTAGGATTTTTAAGAGATTTTTTTAGGATTTTTTTGGGATTTTTTGAGATTTTTTTAGGTTTTTTTTAGGATTTTTAAGAGATTTTTTTAGGGTTTTTTTAGGATTTTTTTGGGATTTTTTTTAGGATTTTTTTAGGATTTTTTTAGGATTTTTTTAGGATTTTTTTTGGGAATTTTTTGAGATTTTTTTAGGATTTTTTTAGGATTTTTTGGGGATTTTTTGAGATTTTTTTGGGTTTTTTTAGGATTTTTAAGAGATTTTTTGAGATTTTTTTAGGATTTTTTTAGGATTTTTTTGGGGATTTTTTGAGATTTTTTTAGGATTTTTTTGGGATATTTTGAGATTTTTTTAGGTTTTTTTTAGGATTTTTTGGGGATTTTTTTAGGATTTTTTTAGGATTTTTTTAGGATTTTTTTGGGATTTTTTGAGATTTTTTTAGGGATTTTTTAGGATTTTTGCCCTCAGCGGCAGCGCCCTGCCCGCGCCCCTGGAGGCCACCTCGGGAAAGGTGGGGACAAAAGGGAACTCCTGGGAAACTGGGGGATTTTTTGGGGATTTTTGGAGATTTTTTTAGGGTTTTTGAGATTTTTTGGGGGATTTTTTGGGGATTTTTTGAGATTTTTTTAGGGTTTTTTTAGGATTTTTTCGGGATTTTTTGAGATTTTTTTAGGATTTTTTTGAGATTTTTTTAGGGTTTTTTTAGGGTTTTTTTGGGATTTTTTGGGGATTTTTTAGGATTTTTTGGGGATTTTTTGGGATTTTTTTAGGATTTTTTTGAGATGTTTTTAGGATTTTTTTAGGATTTTTTTAGGATTTTTTTGGGGTTTTTTGAGATTTTTTTAGGATTTTTTTTGGGATTTTTTGGGGATTTTTTTGTGGATTTTTTGAGATTTTTTTAGGTTTTTTTTAGGATTTTTAAGAGATTTTTTTAGGGTTTTTTTAGGATTTTTTTGGGATTTTTTTTAGGATTTTTTTAGGATTTTTTTAGGATTTTTTTAGGTTTTTTAGGGATTTTTTTAGGATTTTTTTAGGATTTTTTTAGGATTTTTTTGGGATTTTTTGAGATTTTTTTAGGGATTTTTTAGGATTTTTTAGGGATTTTTTTAGGATTTTTTTTGGATTTTTTGAGATTTTTTTGGGTTTTTTTAGGATTTTTTTGGGATTTTTTGAGATTTTTTTTGGGTTTTTTTAGGATTTTTTTGGGGATTTTTTGAGATTTTTTTAGGATTTTTTTAGGATTTTTTTGGGATTTTTTTAGGGTTTTTTTAGGATTTTTTGGGGATTTTTTGAGATTTTTGTAGGGTTTTTTTAGGATTTTTTTGGGATTTTTTGAGATTTTTTTAGGGATTTTTTAGGATTTTTGCCCTCAG